TAAATCCTGAAAGAATTTGCTTTATTCCTAATTATGAACCATGAAGACGTTTATACTCATAGAACAGCTCTGAGCTGCAACCTGTACATGTGGGAGCTGATGTCCACAGAGAGGACTTGGTGGTCTCTTAGAGTAATTGCTCTTTCCTGAGCTACCTGTCCACGCTCCTGGAGCCTCCTAAGAGTTAAGTTCGAAGGAAGGGGCATTCCCCGGGCGGCCGCGTATGTATCCCTGAGAAACACCAAAACCTAGTTCAGACGTAAGTACTTGGAATATTCTTCTTCGTGTGAAAAGCACAGCGAGGAGAAGAGAATACCTGTGCGTTTCACACAGATTGATGGACTGCAACTGTGGCATCTTTCCTCGTGTAAATATGGCAAAAATCATCTTTAAAAGGGGGATTGGAGCTGACCTGGGGGCCAGCAAATAGGGGGTCACAGATGCGCTAAGAGATGTTCTTACCAAATTCCAGCTGGGCCGCCTCGGGGGACCACACAGGCCACAGGTGAGGCCCGAGCGTCGGGTGGGCTCGGCCCCCGCAGCCCGCACTTCCTGGCAACCTTTCGCCCACATCAATGAGGTAATCTTTTCGAAATGACTCTGAAATGCCTCTTTAATGCGTTAAGCACAGCACACCTGCAGACAATTGGAGGAACGCATACCTCGGGTGCCATCTCGGCTCTCAGAAACCACGCGGCCGGCAATCAATACGGCTGTCATTCGCAGTTGCTAATGTGGGCTCTGGGCCAAGCACATCTGTCTTCGTGGAAAGAGAACCACTCCCCACCCTCACGCCCCTGCGTTCGCTAGTGCACCCTGTGAGTGTACAGTGTAGGGCACAGGATTTTGTTTTTTTCATATATATATATTGTTGATAGTATTACAGATGTCTCCCATCTCCCCCACATCCCCCACCCCCCTCCACCCAGCCCTTACCCATCCACGCCCCACCCCCAGGTCTTCCCACCCCCCACTGCCCATGTCCATGGGCTGTGCATATCTATATCTATCTATATCTATATCTATATCTATATCTATATCTATATCTATATCTATATCTATATCTATAAAAGGCTAAGCTACCGTCTGACCGTCAGACCGGTAGCTATGACGCGCACTGACCACCAGGGAGCAGATGCTCAACGCAGGAGCTGCTGAGCTGCGGTGACTTGCAGCGGCGGTTCTCGGGTGATATACCCTGGAACCAGAGAGGGGGGAGCCCCATTCCAGGGTGCGTCACCTGAGAATCACCCTCTCGCGTTCCAGGACCCCTCAGGGGATGTCGGGGAGCTAGTTTTGTCCCGATCCCCGCAGGCCAGTCCGAGGGACCCCACCTTCCAGAGGGACCCCACTCACTCCACAGATACCCTTCGAGCCACGGTGCTGCCCCAGGTGCAGCAGCAGGGGAGGGGCCGCGGGAGGTTGGCTCCAGGGCGTGTCCGGCCCGTCTTGCCCCATCCCATCCACCCCACATGGTGCAGAGTCACGAGGACGGGCCACAGGCTGTGGCGGTGCCCACACTGCCCGCCGCCCTGGCTCTGTCCCATGTGGGACAGGCGCCCTGTGGTGGGAGCGGGTGCCCTGCCTGTTCTGGGACAGCCCAGGGGCGTCCCGGGCACAGGAGATGGTCTTCCCTCTGTGTGGGCAGAGGCCAGGCTCAGGCCGGCTGGGACCAGGAATGGGGACGATGACGATGTGGAGAAGCCACCGTGACCTGCGTACGTCACGTGACCAAAATGACCCTTCGCTGCCTTAGGCCTCTGGAACCCGGCTGCCTGGCAGGCCCAGAGACCAATGCTGTCTGCAGCGACCGAGGGGCAGAGGTCAGGTGGAGGGTGGGTGGGAGGGCTGCCTTGGTGACTGGTCAGGGGCCAGGCACTCCCACAGGTGTGTGTGTGTGGGGGGGGGGCAAGGAGGTGTCAAGTAAGATGTCCTGGTGGGTTGTGGGCCTCGGCTGCAGCCACATCGCTGGCCCTGGATGTCCCAGCAGCCGCGGTCCCACTCGGCTCCTCCTGGTCCCCAGGGGGCTGCAGGGCCTGCCGTCCCGGGTGCCTCAGTGCAGACCCCCAGCCTCAGGCTACTGACCACAGGTCGATGCTGGTCACAGGAGCAGTGACAGCTGGCGGTGTCAATGGGGACTGAGCGCCTAGGGCGTGTTCCCTGCCCCCAGGCTGGGGACCGGGAGGGAGGCCGCTTGGAGCTTCCTCCATGACGGCCCACGAGACTCCACAGGCGAACAGCAGCGAGGACCCCGCCCGGAAGCCGGAGCTGACACTGGGCTGCAGCTGGCGGAGGGCAGCAGCCTGGACAGTGTCCATGCTC